CTCAGGTTCTTAAAAAGCATCTGAAAGAATGATGCAAGCCCTCAAACTGGTTTCACATACTCTTCTGTCTGCAGAGAGTAGGTCAGCTCTTTCTCTTCTGCAGGAGCTCATTCATGCAGTGATGTCCTCTTTCCTTGATTTATGTGAAGGCAAAGCTCCATTTTCTTTCCCCTAGTTTTACCAGGAGTTTACATCATGATCAAACTGCCTTAGAATATTCTGCAAGACCATGAGAATTCCTAAGTCTTAATGATACAGAATCTCTTCTGTTTCCCTCAAACAGAACGTGCATGTTTCCCAGTTACCATGAGACTGTCAAGGATAACCCATAAAAAATAGTTCTGTCTTGTACTTTTGTCATGATCCATTTAAGTTTCTACTTTTCCACTGTCAAAGAGCCCAACAAAGTGACCATGAAAAACACAAACTGTACAGTTATTCCAACACTACCTTTTCCCTATGTTTTGTAGAAGTAGGGAAATGACCCCATATCGTGCTCAGCATTTTGTACCACCTCCCTTTCCACTGCTAGGTTTTAATCATTATGGCTTATTATGACAATGTAAACATCGATACTGTGTTTTGTGATACATTCCCTGAAATCCTTGGCTTCCATCTGCAGTTCTGGAGCTGCCTCTTTGTTACATAAACAGAGCAGTGATGCAACAACAGATGGGGAATAACAATACTGTGGCTGGTAATCAATCAGGTGTTTATTTGTGCTCTCAGCCTCTTTCTGTGTTAGAGGACAGTTATGAAGGGGCAGCAGTGCTGATCCCCCACATATGGACTTTTCCACGTGACTCTAACCTTTCTAATCCTAAGGACTGATGGAAAAGTGATTGGTTGAAGTAGGTCCTTCTTCCCTATCAGTGATGCAAAAGTCTAAAGGAGGTGACAGCTCCTGAGGCTGCTTCCATTTTAGGGAAAGCTTAAAAAATTACATGCTGCAATTTCAGATCTTTTCAAGCTAAAATACTGTAAGCTTTAGTGATATGCATACTGCTGTGATCTGCAGACCACTTGTATGGCAATGGGCTGGACAGAAGTGGAAGTATCAATTTCTTTTGACAAATGCTTTGAATTACAGCATTGGAAGGTATTTTTTCATTTTGCAGCACATTTTGTTATCAGTTCAAGCCAGATAATTGTGTATCATTAAGATGGGAGCTTTGTTCTTTGAATGGAGTTTAAATCTTACATGTTAGAAATTCAATGCAACCATGCACATACACAAATTAGTTGATACAGGTCTAATCATCCCAGCATTTTACTTGATTTCTGGAGTTTTCCGTGGCCTTTGAGTCTGTTTTGTTTTGAAAAAAGCTCAACTTCTTTTGTGTAAGCTTAAGTGCATGGGTTATGTTTGACTGCAGATGTAAAATGTATAAAATTGATTTATTGTGCTGTAACAAAAGAGGAGGGAGGAAATAGGGCAGGGGGCTGAGCATTCTGGTGAAAAGAGTGAATGCTAGAAAAGCCATGTAGAAGTCTCAGTGCTCAGAATCAAAGAAATTAGATTCTTGTGCAACATTTTTCTAGGGACATGTTCTGCTTTATTTTGATGTTGGGCGCATATTTCATAAAATTGATTTAAAAGTAGTTGGATAGCAGACAGCTGTTGTCACCTAAGTCTGCATTCCTAATACCTTGTCAGAAAATGACACCCAACTCTTCAATGATTCTGCACAATGCTTCCCTCAGTTGTATATGGAAAGGAATTGGAAAACTAATCCTTTTTTCTTTTCTTTTTTTTGTTTTAACTCCTAGTTTTAACCCTCTGCTTTTAGCTAGTTGGTATTTTCCCCTGCACTTTGAACTAAGGCTTGTACTGAACTTGTAAGCCTTCCACTGGTCTTGAAAATATTTCTCAGTTTGGCTGTTTGAAGGTGCTGAGATACCTTCTGAATGTCCCAGCCTGTCCATTCAAAACTTCCAGGTAAACTTTTGTGTTTGTGGTGGACACAGTTTTCTTGGTGAGAGCTTTTTGCTCAGTTCAGTGAAAGCAAGGGAGCTAGATGACTAGTAAGAGCTGGATGGACTCTGTGTTGTTAAGTAAGAGGGCCAGGAACTAGTCCCTTGGCCCATGGTGCCCTAACTGGCCATATCTGCACCATGGGGGATCTGTGTGGGGAGTGAAACCTGGTTTAGACTTGTCCATGTTGTCTTCTGGGAGCAGAACTGGCCTGGGCAGTTGCTTGAATTGTGGCTGGGACTGTGTTCAGACCCACTAGGGCAGTGTGGGTGACGACTAGGCCAGCACTTAAGCTTGCAGCCTCCTCTTTTGTTTGGCAGTAGAGACAGAGGAGTAAAAGCTGTAGCATCTTGCTAGCAATGCCAGCTCTGTACCACAGGCTGCAGAGCAAACAGATGGTTAACAGCAGTTGTAAGACATTCCCCCATCCCCATATCCCTGAAGTGTTTTACTTTTGCAATGCTTGTACTGCTGATGAACCAAAGAAAGGGAGGAAACAGTGGCTGTCCCATGGCTGTACCTTAGTAACTGCAGATGGGCACGATTACTGCAGGAAAAGCATCCCTTAGCTTCAGCTTGTTCCCAAATGAAACCAGTTGTGGCATGTCACATGAGCTTTTTTTAGTGACTCATCTGGCACTTCCCTGGCTGAAACATCCCAGTTCTGAAACAGCCTCAGTGCATCCCCAAGTTTCTCCTGTGTCCGTTGCCTCCCTCCATGCCAGCTCAGTCCAAGATCCTGTCCTTTCACTTCTACTGCTTTGACCAGGTACTATGCACCCCTTCTAGTGCTGACATGGGCATGTCTTACCTTGTCAGGTCTGACTCAACACCAAGCACTCATGGTTTGTGCTTATCATAGCTAGGTCATTGCTGTCCTGTGGAGGATCCCACTCGTGCAGCCACCAAAACATGCAAATGCAGTAGAGAACCATCTGACCAGAAGTGAGATGGGCCAGCCAGCAGTGCTGTCCATACTCAGATAAACGGGTGGCTCTGTGCTGTGAACTTGTGGAAAATGTGGGCGATAAGGGTCGGCAGCTCTTGGGGCTGTAATGGTAGCCTCAGCCTTGGTGAGTGCTGCACTTTCAGATTGTACCAACATTGTTTTCACTGATGATGGTCAGTGTGGAGACTGAAGGGTGTCTGGGGGTCAAGGCAAGGCCTTGGTAGCCTGATAAATCTGCATGACCTTGGGGAGCCAAAAACATCCCCCACCTCTTCCAGGTGGGTCAAATAAACTGAAGCCCCTACTGGGAGTGAGGCTAACACAGGAACCTGTGTCCTACCGGGGAGTGAGGCTAACACAGGAACCTGTGGTGTGACACACTGGTGTGGGGGTGGGCAGGTGGTGGCCTTCAGTTATGTGGCAGCATCAACAGACTTAATGCTCCCTGTCTATACAAAATGTCAGCCCTGGGAGGCAATGCCCTAACTGCCACCTGTGCAGTTACCTGTCTCACTCTGAGCATCTCTCACACATACAGTCTTTGAAAACCTAGTAATTAAAATGCTTTTATAGTTTTTTTCAAGTGCAAAACCAGGAAGGAATATTAACCACAACTGTCTCTGCCCACATACAGCTGTGTTTATTGGTCTGCCTCAAGCAGACTCATTTCTTCTACCAGAGGTGACATGGCTGTGGGCTTTACCACAGAGTTTAAATCAGAATCATTTCAGTGGCAGGAAGAAATACAAGTGGTTCCAAACATCATTAGCGTTTTCAGCTTTTTTTTTAAAAAAAGTAGTAATTTCAAAGGGAAAGGCACTTTGTAGAGACATGGTTACAGCCTTCTTATTTCTGCTGAGCTTGTTATGCAAGTACATGGGCATTGACAAACCAACCTTAAGCCAAAAATAAAACTAGAGATGACCCAAAACTTTCACAGGCTGTGGCACTACCACCAACTTGTCATTCTCTTGCCTCCACCACCACTTCTGGACATAGAAATCCATTTTGACAACCACACTGTACTCACCCCCTGTTCTGTCAGCTGCTTTCATGTATTTATTTATTTAGACCACACACTTTGCTTTTTATGCTAATTTATAATTCAAAATACAGAAACATTTATGATACCTTAGAAGATCAAGTGTGCATGAGGCAAAGATCAAGAGGCAGAGACTGGAATAAATAAAGACTAGAAGGTGTAGGCAAAAATTCTTAAAAATATTTGAAGTGGTTCCAATTGCCAGCAAAATGCCTGTTCATTAACTCTGACACTCTGCAGGTATAAAATAGAAGCTATTTTTATTTGAGCACTAACAATGAATGCTTCCTAAATGAACAATGGAGAATTAAAATGGGAGAACAAATGAAAAAATATATAGGAGGAGACATTCCTATCAGGCACAAGATAATTACAAAGTTTTTCACAAAACAGGTTATTTCTAGGTACAGTTTGAAGACAAATGTTAACCAACAGAAAAAAAACAAACCTATCCCTGCTTACCAAGGGAAGCATACATGATTTCAAAATAAAAATTTTTCTTTGTCTAAGGTTAACCAAATAACTGAGATTTCAAGGCAGCAGCTGTGAATGCTGACAGGTGTGACTGAGTTGCATACAGAAACAGGAGCATATAACACTTGGGGTGACAGTGTGTGGAAATGGTCCTAGCTGAGGTTTTACTTTTTAAGACAGAGAACAATTTTTTATTGGAAGAAAACCCCCCGCAGTTGGGGGTTTTCTGATAGTGGAAATTTGTGAAAAGGGATCTTCCCACTTCTCAAAATTCACATGAGAACATTGTATTTTTTCTTTCAGCTCCAATTCTACTGGAGAGGCAGCCACAGAAGATGCATTTCACTTGCTGGCTGGCTCTGGAGTGCTGCTCCACCATCTCTGGCTGTCCTGGTGGAGCAAACCAAGATTTTCCAGCTAATTCTTATCTCAGCCTGGTACTGGAATGGGAGTTAAGGGCAGGGGATAGTGAGGTCTGGGGGAAAGGAGCAGGTTATAAGGACAAAGTGGGGGACAAAGGGCACCCCACCTTCTTGATGCCCCCAAGAGGAACTCTGAAGGAGAATTCCTCCTGGAGGAGCCTGATCCAGCTTGACCTTCTATGATGCCTCACAAAACCAGTTATGCCTTAAAGTCCACCTGTTGCTAGAGTTCAGGAGCTGCTGCTGCCCCTTTTCTTCTCAAGAGCTTTCATTAGGTCAGACATGAAATCTGGTTGCTTCCCTCCTGCCCCGATCAGAGGTGGCCCCGCTGACCGTGGCTCTCCAGCTGGTCCTGTGTTTTCTAGCCTTTTTGGAGGAAGTGGCACAGGTTTCTTTGTTGGAAGTGGTGGTGGCTTACTGAGGACGGGTGGAGGTGGAGGAGGTAATGGCAGGTCTCCATTACTGCTGCTGGAGACTGGTGGTGGTGGAGGCACAAAATCAGGAGGAGGTTCATAGAAATCAGATGGTGGTGGAGGCAAATCAATCTTCAGTGTAGGTGGTGGTAGTGGACAGCTCTCTGGCTCTGTTAGGAAAATGCCACTGTCTCGTTTCACTTTGGAGGGTAGAACTGGTGAAGCAGAAATAGCAGATGAACGCCTTTCAGGGGGAGGAGGAGGCTGCAGTGAGTTCCTCTTACCCTGGAATTTCTGTGGCCTCAGCAATGACTGTGCCACGCCAGGGGCACTGGTGTTATTTGACTTAGCCTTTAATAAACAGAAAAATAAAAAGCACAGTCAGTGAACATGTAAACTAATGCCACTGCCTAAGAACAGTGAGAATGTGTGAAAGTATATGAGAAGAGTAGACAGACAGTGAAATGAAGTAGAGTGCATTTTGCCTGAAAAGTGAAAATAGTATTTTGTTTTCTTTCTGGAGCTGCCCACAGAACTCTGAGAGTGGAAACCTCCCTGCTGACAGTATTCACAGTGCATCTTCAAGTGCTGTCCCCAGAAGATGAGTGCTTTTAAAATTTCAAAGAGTTGCAGTTGATAAGACTGCCATCAGGAAAGTAAAGATATTTTCTTGATGTTCCACCCTGCTGTTCATTCCCTGAGAACATAAAGAATTTTAAAAAACCCCAACCTGTGCTGTGCTTTTACATCCAAAACTACTTAGCAAGACTTGAAAATGTAAAAAGCAGATGTAGTTTTGGATGTTGTCCCCATTGTATCTCCAGCTCTCCTTTTAGCTGTGATGGCTGGATCTCTGGATAAAACTGATATAATGAAGTCATCTATCTCTGCCAAATTCATTAGACACAACAGCAGTGAACTGGGAAGAAGGTGGAGAGATTAGGGCATTTAAAGTTTACATGCCTGGATTCACTATCTCTGGCACTCTGCAGTGTGGTGTGACTTGCCCTGACCTGCAGAACTCAAGGCAGAACTTAATACATTCCAAGTGTTGTTCCATGTAGAGGGCAATTCCACCACTGCACCTTCCTGGTCTGTCTCTCCTAACCAGCACATAGCCCTTCATGACAACATTGCAGTCATGTGAGCTATCTCACCATGTCTCAGTAATCACAATGAGATCAAAGCCCTGTGACTGCACACAGATCTCTCGTTCCTCCTGTTTCTTTGCTTTTGCTAGAGAAAAGCCCTCTGCACTCCTGCAGTCAGCAGCACTAATTCTAGCATCAGCTAGAGTATAACATGCATGCCTCCTCTTCCTCCCCTGCAGTCAGCAGCACTAATTCTGGCATCAGCTAAGTATAACATGCATGCCTCCTCTTCCTCACTCCTTGCCTGCAAAGATGGAAGTAAATGAGACAGGAGGAGGGAACTGTTGGCTGAGTTCTGAGAATGTAAGCTACTGCAGAGGAAGTGAGGTTCAGAACAGAGAACAGGAGGAACTCAGAAACAAGAAGTGTAGGACACGTAGTGTGGGTGACAGAAAAATCATAGGAATTTAATTTCATTTGTCCTGTGTACTTCATGTACGATGGAGAGACTGAACAATGAACTGCAAACAAATGCACTTTTTTTCTGTTGCATGTTTTTAAAAGTTCTCATAGTGTACCCTACGATATTTTTACAGCCAGAAATGGTACAAGTACTCAAAATTTGGAGCTCAATCAAGGAATGCATTTAGAGCCTAATGAAAATACATAATGTTTTCCCTTACTTCATACTTTCTCCTTTCTTACACACTTATCTTCAGCTGTGCAGTGTTCCCTGCTGAAAACACTACTGTATGCTTTTTGTGGCAGAGACAGAACAGGGCACTGAGGTTCTGGCAGCACAGACACTTTGAGACTCTCCCAGTAGGCACATTCCTATTTCTGCCACATGAACTCAAAGCTCTTTGTTCCGAAGAACAGAAGTGGTGAGTGGCTGTGCCTTCACCTCCTGTCAGTGGCTCCTGGCTTCTGTGCAGCACACACACTGTTTGCAGTGTGAAAAACATGAGGAGGGCCAGTCAGGAACCAGCCACTTTTCCCATGAGCCAAACCCTTCTCACAGCAGTACGCTGGCACTTTGAGGGGGGAAGACAGTAAGTCAACAAAAGGAGAGGCTGAGGGAGCTGGGGGTGTTCAGCCTGGAGAAGAGGAGGCTCAGGGGAGACCTTAGCACCCTCTGCAACTCCCTGACAGGAGGTTGGAGTCAGGTGGGGGTTGGTCTCTTCTCCCAGGCAACCAGCAGTAGGACAAGAGGGCACAGACTCAAGCTCTGCCAGGGGAGGGTTAGGTTGGATATTAGGAAGAGTTTTTTTACAGAGAGAGTGATCAGGCATTGGAATGTGCTGCCCAGGGAAGTGGTGGATTCACCATCCCTGGAGGTTTTCAAGACAAGACTGGATGTGGCACTTGGTGCCATGGTCAAGTAACAACGGTAGGACTGGACTCAATGATCTTTGAGGTCTCTTCCAACCAGGTTGATGCTATGATTCTATAATAACTGGTTCACAGATGACATTTAACTAGTGCACTGCTAGTAACTACTCACCTGTGCCTCTGATGCCTCCACTTTCTTCTGAGTGTCTGGAAATTCTGCACTGAAACGCCGAACAGTTTGGGGAATCTGTCCATTTGACTGAATAGCACCTGTGACAAGGAGAGGAGACAGAGGGAAGAGAGTGTTACATTTTTGTGATATTATCCAGATCAGGGAAAAACCAACTAAGAAAAAAGGTTATGAAGATATCTTGACAACTTCCACAAGGAGCCACTCGTTACAGGTGTTTTATACATAATTCGTAATACAGATATCTGTTTTCTACTTCAGGCTCATTTTGTGACTTTTCATACTTAGTTCATTACCTAAGGGAAATAAACAAAGTCCCTTAGACTGAAATCCATACCTGTCCATATGCCTCCATGGCTGTGGCTGACCATCCTACAGGAAGTGCAAGTGGCAGAATTATGAAGACATGACAGAAATTTTCAGTGTACAGGTGTTGACAAATGAAGATATTTTCCTTCTGACTACTGTAAATGTTGATTACAGAAGGTGACCATTAAGGTTGACACAGGAATAGAGAAGGGGAACTGGCTTTGGAAGGGAAGCTAAGTAGAAATCTGACTGGCAGAGCTAAGCCTGCCATTGTTTGAATACCTGTCTTTCATAACTGCATTGCGAAATTTGTTGTGTGCTCTAGTATTACTACATTCTCAGTTTTTATTGCATTTTCCCCCCATTTACTTTAGGCTCAAGACTAAAAGTACCACAGTTTCATTTCAACCAGTCATGAGAGCTGAAGGTTTGAAGTCCTACAGAGGGACTGATCCTCTTCCTTTAGTATATGAGCCAAGAGCTCTGAAACATCTCCCCAGTTTGGAATCACGAAGATTGTGAATGTCACTGTCTTCCCAGATTAGTGCAGATTACCAGCTGGCTAAATTAAAGCTCTGCAAAACATCTGCCCACCATTCCTGTGTGTCTAAGGGATATGCATAAATAAACCAACAGTGTCAAATGGACTAAGTGAATGTGAGACCAAGGGACAAATTTATGAGTTTAATTATGAAAAATCCCTGGCCCCTGTATCCTCTGATGAGGATTAAAGAAACTCTCCAGTTGAGCATAGGATTTTTGGAAGCTGTACATGTCAAAGTAGTAGACAGTGTTTGGTGCTTAGAGACATACATTTGTAAACCTTAATGACTGCCTTAGTTCATTACAATTTACAGTTCTGAGATCCAGTGAAGTTCCACTCATGTACTTCTCAGATGCCAGTCAACCCTTAGCTGTCTACAATATAAGCCTAAGCACAATGATGGCTTTAATCTTAACGTGCACTTTACTGATTAGCAAAGAGGTTCCCTGAATATGCTAAGAAATAGAATTAATTATTTTTATTGCCATGCCTGCAGATCACATGGCTGGCAGAGAAGTAAGACAAACTCTGCAGTGTACTGAATTTACTAGGGCTATTAAGGCTTCAAGGCATGATAAAAAGTGGTCTGAAGTCCTTGTTTTATGCCTGTGTCTGCATGTTGTTCAGCATACTTAATCCAAAGTACCATTTGGATCTTTCAAAATACAGTCTTGTGTTTGGTGAAGGATTAACATAGAAGTCAACATAGAGATGAAACCAATCTAGTGGCTGTAAGTGCTCAGTGGAAAGAGATGTATATCCCTGGGCCCTGTGGCTGTGCCCTTGAGTGGAGCAAGTTAGTGTCTCTCCTCACTTTGCTGTCCATAGCAGAGAAGGAGTTTGGGCTTCACACTGTTCAAAGACATAGCTACTCAGTCATGCTGAGATTTAACTGAATGAAGGAGAGCAGAGAGAGATCCACTCTATCCAGTGCAAGGTATCACATTCTGCTTGGCAAATATGATACACCAGAAAGCTAGGACATGGTAATCTGTTTCTTTTTCTGTTAATGGATTTCCTACACTCTGCAAGACTTGAAAGCAACACTTGCTCTATCATCTCCTGCCACATACCTCCATATATGCTATACACAAAGTCAACCAGCTAAAAGACTCCCAGTCAATACAACATGTGAGTCGCTGCATTCTATTCTCAAGTCAATATCTTCAAAATTTTATGGTGAATTCATATTTAAGAAAAAAAAAGAGTAGAGCAAATAGAATGAAAAATATAGATGCTCAAATGGAAAATATTGAGCCTTGTAGTGATACAGAACATTGGAATAAAGCAACAACTTTCATCTTTCAAACATCATGACACTGTGCTGGCCCACAACATATAGCTGGGCCCTAGGTTTTATGTAGGGCAATAATGATAACTGTAAGACAGCCATAATCACAGTGACTTGCCTCAATTAGAACACTAATGATCCTTCAGAGATAATTCCATAGAGACAACATACATGCCTAAAATCTTTCCAGGCTACTTAACCATTTAATGTGAACCATTAGTTATGATTAGCAGTATATTCTATTGAACACATCCATTATTCTGAGTCGGGAGCTGAAGTTACTACACATGTATACAGATATTCTAAGGCCTTGATCCTGCCCATATCCAGTACAGACTGCAGCACCAGCATGGAGCCCCACTAGCCAGACACCTCTCTATTGCTGTCCACACTGCACACAAATGTTTCTACCACTGACCCATCCACCCCTCAGTCCAGTACACTTCCCACCTCCAACCATCAGAAAATCCCCATATCTCAAAACAGTCTGTTACTGGCTCTCCTGACCCCAGAATTGCATTCATTACCATGATCTGACTCCAAGGAATATCAAGAAGACCACCCTCTATCTCACATGTCCTGAGAAAAGGTAAACTGAAGCCTTGGAAAGGTGTTTGGGGGATTTGGAGTTGCATGAGAAGTACATGAGAAACCAGAATATGTGAAGTACATGAGAAGCCAGAATATTAACTGCCAACAATTTTGGCTTTGCCCATCTTAATGACAGTAAGTACTTGGCCAGCATGCCCTGTCTAATACAGAAAGCATATCTTAAGCACACAAGCTAAAAATACTCATGTGAGTTACAGCCAGTATCATGCACTGTTCTATTTGCATCATAAGAACATTAGTAACAGCAGTATGATGAAGCTACTGGAAAAGTTAAGTTAGAAAATAACCCAATCCTTTCTTACTCTGCATCCTTCTCCTAACATCCACGTTGTTACCATGCAAATGACTGAAAGGCTAGGAAAGAGCTCACCCTATAATCATCTCTTTCTGAAATGATCAGTGTCAGAATATCTCACTCATCCCTTTTACTCATTGGAAGAAAAGCTCTAATATAGCCAGTGATGAGATGGGCAAACAGAAAGCTTCAAGACACGGACCATCAGTCCACAAAATGTGGAGGGAAGATAAAGGATTCAGATGCCAAGAGAAAAACACCTTACTAAATTATGCAGATTTAAACTATCTTTAGTGACTGTATTCCCCAAGTTCTAACTTTAAAGTGAGAGCTCTGCTGCTGGGCTCAGTTATAGACCAGAGCTACAGTGGCCTGTCTCCCAAAAGATATTATCTTGCTGAATCGATGGGTCAGTTTTCTGAATGACGACTATATATGCAATACTGATGATAAGAGAAGAGGGCAATGATGCAACTTCTACAGCTGTGACAGCATTGGTACCTGCTGCTGAAGATCCTGCAGGGGCAGCTGGTTCCACCTTTCCTTGATTTGCCCAGTGAGAGGTCAATCCAGCTTTCTTCACTGCACATTGGTAATTATCATATAGTGTCTTGCCATACTGCAAAACAATCAAAACAATACAATGAGCACGTGTTAGGCTTGACATAGGCCAAGCATTCATTTTGCCTAACTTTTCTGAACCCATTTCTTCCTACCCAGTTTTGTTAAAAATTAGCTTTCTACAAGTGACATGCCCTTTTCTGTATAGGGCCAGGTGGAAAGCACAATAAAACATGAATCCCCACGACCAAACACAATCCTACTGATATAATTCTCACATTTTATGCTTGTTTCAGTATCTGTAAATGTCTCGAAACCTGGCTTTAAAATCAACTGTTCTCAGTAAATATCTTGTTTCCAATGTTTTCCAAGTATTATATTTCAAACTGAAGACTTGGGACACTGAATCCCAGACCCTAAAGCAAACAGCTCTGTCAGTGTAAGATACAAATGATTTGATGGTCACCCCACACCTTTATTGGATGTCACTTTGCAGCAGAAATGTCAGAAAAACCCCAAACAAACAGCTAAGAGGAGCAGGTCTGTATGGCTGTATATAAATCCATCTCCCTTAATGTTTTGTCAAAAACAAAATGAGCTGTCAATTAGGATATTTTGGAAGAGAGTGAGACAGATAATTTGGGTAGAACTGTCTGAAAAATGTCACAGATGACTAACCAGAACTTGCACATAGTTAGCCACAGTATATTATTATTGTACCAGATAATAGTAAGTTTTATGAGTACATGAGTTTTATAGTTACTGAATTCACTCCTGTGCTAATAAGAAAAACAGACTGATAAACTACAGTACAGGGACATTCAGCAAATCCATCCTCAACATGTGCTTCTGCTCTTCCTATGGTAAAATTAGCATGAACATCCATTCTTGTCACAGTGTTTCCAGTTGAGGTGATGACAGTCAGTAACCCAAGGAAGACAAGATTTTGCAGAAAACATATTTAAGTAAGTTTACTTTTAATCTCACCTTGGCAATTCTTATTCCTGTTACCCACTGCTGTAGGGTTGCTTGATTATCGCAGCATAAGTACTTGATATATTGCGACTCCTTTTGAATCTGGGGGTACTGAAAGATAGTAATTCATAAAATAAGACAAACACAGAAATCACATCATTATACAGAAGTCTGGAGGCACCACATCGTGACCTCGTGAGAACACATTATGAAGATGATTTGAAAAAATAAAACAGAGCAAAAAGTATTAGAAAACATTAAAAAGATGCTGATTATGAACTAGATATGAGTTGCCACTGGCAGCTTTTGCTTGAAATCATTTCAATGCATTGCAATATGAATTCAAGGGCTACAGAACTGTTCCAGTGATCTGGAGTTCAATGAAGTCTACAAATGCTGTGGTTCAAGGTGTATAAACACCGGAAGGAAATCTGTCTCTCATTGTGGCTTGTCATGTGTAAGGCACCTGGACTGAATGCTGAACATAATTAGATTTCAAAGAGTGTGTTAAATTTGTTTAAGGATAAACTTTCAGCTGCAACAGATTCTTCCATCTCACTGACTGCCTTTCTCTGGGAGTTCTAGCTTTCTTCCTATTCATTTTTATTCTGCTTTATCCATAGTGTTGTTTGCAACAGTTAGGTTAAACTGTGATATGTTCTAGATAGAGGATCATTCCAAATGCAACACCATCAGAAGTAATCTTTTTCATTTGGTTGTACTTTTTTTGAAAAATTTGGACAAAATTTAGGATCTCTTCCCCCTACTGATCAAGGTAGTACTGGTATGTGCTGACTTACCTTTGCACCTCAAAGATCACCAAAATGTCAGGTTACCTACTTGCCTAGGACTGAACATTCTAAGATTCTGAAGGAATTTGGTTTCCCTGCTACAGCAGGGAAGGATGTAATTCTTTAGTAGCTTGGCTGGAATAACATACTGCCATCTCTTGATGTGCAAGTAAAAGAATGAACCCAAAGGAAAAGGCTTCATTATCCCTTATTTATGTGTTTATTTCTACCTGTATTCTTAGAAATTATAAGTGCAGAATTAGTGAAATATTGTGAATGCACAAAAGAGTAGCCAAATATGCTCCAAAGATTCACTATTGTCACACCACTTTTCAGCCTGTGTAGGTAAAAATTCGAGGCATACCTCCACCTAGCAGCAAGGACCTTGGGTTCAGACAAATCATTAAGCCCCCAAAGCAGAGCAGAGCTGGATGTGGGGAACTTGGCAGGGTCTCTCACAGCACAGAGGCTGTGAGCAGCCTGCAGCCCAGGGCTGGTGTAGATGCCAGTCTCCTTGGAGATGCCTGCTGGTGGCTGTGGCATCCCAGTGCAGACACCAACCCCTGCCCATAGCTGGGTGACCCAGGGGTTCAAAAGCAGAGCCCAATGCTCCTCAGCCAGGTGTGCCTTGCTCCCCCCTCAGCACTGCAGACAATAGGCTTCCCACCGACCCAACTGTTTAGGAGGCCACATTCAGACTCCAAAAAAAAAAGAGGAACTGATCTGGGTTAAATATAACCAATTTCATTATGCTGTAGTTTTGGTTTTTTTCAACCCAGCAGTACACAGAATGACCTCACATGCAGTGAGGGGATGAGGAGCACTGTGGCTTGGAGACCAAATGAGTAGCAAGGGATGGATGAAGCAATGGGACCACACAAGCCAGTATTGCTGCCAAAGCCCTGTGTCATCAAATTATGGAGAGTGAACATACCAGGGGGATAACTGTGAGGAAGAAAAAGCAAAGGGATATTACACTTGAGAGGTCTCACAGTGACAGATATGTCCCAAGGCAGTGCTGTGGATAGCTGTGTTACAGGTCCCTGTGTGTTTGCACTCAGCTGCTCACACAGGTCACACTGTTCACTGTTTTTCTGCCAACATCCAGTTGGTCATCTCCCCTGGACAATGAATATGCAAAGTCTGCTTCAGCCCTCTGGAAGGACCTATGGCTGTCTTATTCTATAACATTGCTCTGGGGCACTCCCAAGTTGAGAGCTAGAGACATCTCACATGACAAACCCAGAAATACCAGCTCACTTGTCACCAAGTATCTTAACTGCAAAGCAGGCACCATGCCCACCCCATGGACCCTCACCCACCTGGTACACATCATCCCTTCACACTGTTCAACGTACAGGGCTGTACCTTGCTTTTATACACCTCTGTCACACATCAAACAGTGGCAGTAACCAGGCCCCTGGACAAACAGCCTTCTCCAGCTCCCCAGCATCTGCCTGTCCTTGTCTGCTGCAGCCTCAGACAGCCTGAATGCTGCTCAGAGTGGGCTCTGCTGCTGCAATACAGGGCCAGGACACAATGCCTGAAAATCCCTATTTCCTTCTACCATTTCTCTGCTACGTGACCAAACACAGTGAAAACCATTAGATAATGCAATATGAATGGCATCTTTAAAAGGGAACTGTAAACAGGCTCTTCTTTGTGTGGCAGAGTACATCACATACACCTGGGTTATGTTATCACCAATGGAGACAAAAGAACCAGGAGGTGCAAACAAAGACAATGTAACTGTGAGTAAATTCAATTCTTCAAGCACTTTTCAACCAGCAACTAGACGTGAGTAAATTCAATTCAAGCACTTTTCAACCAGCAACTAGAAATTTTGCTTCAGTGTGTATGGTCCTACTGAACCCAGCAGATGGCACCCAAAGCTTAAAAAAAAGAAAAAAGCAAGGGTTTTTTTTTTTTCCCCCTCTCCTTTTCATGACAATAAAGTCCATTGGATCTACATATCTCCCCTTATTTTCAAACACACTTACCAATAGTTTTTTTATTACAATAAAAAAGAAAAGATTTCTATAATTTAACAACTGATTCATGCAAACATCTGGAAAAAAGTCCACACTGAATAAACAAGGCAGAGATCATGGCATAGAGCAAGTTAGGTAATGGTGCTGCATATATACACACCCTGCTATGGGGATCTGCTTCTGGGGTGCTCAAGAGAGGCTGCTGCAGAATGCTCCTCTGGGGCACTCTATGGAAGTATTAGTTTCACAAGAACACTGTACTGTGTCAGATCAAAGGTCCCTGAACCCAGTATCTGGACTTTGACAGTGACCACAAATGAGAGAAGGGAAAGAACAAGATAAGCATATATGGTACTTCCTTCTCTGCCTACAACTGTTTTCAAGGTCAGGGGATTTTCTGGGGTTTCTTGGTATTTAGGTTCTCCTCCAGATACTCCTTCAGCTTTTTATTGAGCACAGAGAGAGTTCTGGAATCCACAAAATCTTTTAGCAACAATTTTCACAGGTCTGTCACAAACTCTATGAAGAGCCATCTCCTTCCTCTCTGAACCTGACTACCACTAGTTTTGTGTAACATTCTTGTTTGGAAGAGACACTGAATACCTGACCTCTATCCACACCTCTCCGTGCCACCCCTGAGCCTAGAGATCTACATCGTATTCCTGGCAAGTAGTCTCTTTTTCAGCCTACAGTCTTCTAGTCTCTTCAGTCATTCTTTAAGTCAAAGTAATTCCTTACCTTTGCTTATCCATGCTACAGAATCACAGAATTTATTAGGCTGAAAAAGACCTCTGAGATCATACCTGACCTCTATCCACACCTCTCCGTGCCACCCCTGAGCCTAGAGATCTACATCGTATTCCTGGCAAGTAGTCTCTTTTTCAGCCTACAGTCTTCTAGTCTCTTCAGTCATTCTTTAAGTCAAAGTAATTCCTTACCTTTGCTTATCCATGCTACAGAATCACAGAATTTATTAGGCTGAAAAAGACCTCTGAGATCATCAAGTCCAACCTATGACCTAACCTAACGGGGAGAAGAGACTGACCCTCTCCTTTCAGATAGTTGTAGAGAGTGATAATGTCACCACTGAGCCTTCTCTTCTCCAGGCTAAATAACTCGAGTTCCCTCAGCCTCTTCTCACAGGACATTGCTCCTGCTTGATCCTTTTCCAAGTTTATTATATCCATTTTGAGATGAGAGGACCAGAACTGCACAGGTGAGCAGAAACCAGAAACTTGTGCCATGGTATGGCAACATTTGCTGTTTTATCATCTATGCTTTTCCTTAGCACTCCTAATGCTTGATTTATATAGCTGACAACCACTGAGCACTGAACCTCAGCCTCACAATGGCCTTCCAGAATTCTTCACTCTGCCCTTTCCTTGATGATCTGAATACCATAACAGCAGCAGCAAGTTTCCTCACCTCACTGCTTACCCTGCCTATGATTATTTTGAGACTGTGGGGTTCTCACCATCCTGAGAAGCTGAGGGAGAACTGTCAGTGAACAAGGTGCGACTGTCCCTGGCGAGACAGCATGGGAAATATTTACTGACTACCCTCTACCCTATCTTTTACTAGCTATTGTCTCCACTAGGCAATCCATCTTAACTACTGATATTCACCGGTGGGGCCTATTCCAAATTACCCCAATCAGTTCCTTGATTAAATTACTCCAATCAGCAACCATGATTAAGCACAGAGTCACAAGTATATGCTGTCGATTAGAGACCAACCAAGCAAGCTGCTAAAAAAAAAACACCTCAGAGCCATGCAGGCACTGTGTCTTTGGAACAGCTGAGAGTTGTATTGCCTCTCACTTTCCAAGAAGCAGCAGCAGTACTGCCTCTTTTTACATGTAACTTTATCAATGACACATAAATCATAACTTTGTACTGGACCCATAGCCCACTGAGGTCAACTGGAAATATCCCCATCACCTTTCCTGGGCTTTGGATCGGGTCTAAGGAGGACTGTTTCATGCTGCCAGTGCAGAGGTTGCAGAAGATTATTAGTAAGCAGCTCAGATGGAGGCATTTGACTTCCTGTGGTTTATAGATGCATGATATAGATATAGATACTTGAGACAGGAAGGTAAAATGTTTCAGCCAAGAATTGTCACACCCCATCCCAGTGACTTGCTCACTTGGAAGAACTGTACCAGTGTAAAACCAAAGTGAAAAGTAAAATTGCTTTAGCAGTACAAATGGCAGAAGTCTCTGCTGTTGATGCTGACCTTTACAAGCTTGACTTTCCACTAATCTTCAGGCAAAATCTATTAGGCAGTGCATTAAAATGGTGACTTCAAAGAAGAATCTAGACAGCTGGA